CAAGCAGTCAGCCCGCTGAATTTATCTTTGTCTCATCCCAGCAGCAATTTAGCCTGTGCAACACCACGATTAGAAAGCAGCGTTTCATCCTTAATTTGACTCACAGGTAAGAGCATCAAAAGACTACAACAGACCGACGCAAATGTGACGGGCGCCCTTCACAAGCCCTCATCCTGCAATTTATATATGTCTATGTTGTCATATGATGTCATATGTGTGTCTGAGTCTATGTGGTCATATGTGTGTGTCTTGCACCATGTTGTCCGACACCATGTCCCCCTTTTGGGGCACTGCTTCGTCCTCCGTCACTGCGAAGCTCTTCCGCTGTGCTCGCATCTCTTTGCCCAGCCTCGGAAGGCGATTTCGCGAGGGCCATGACCTGGAAAACAAACATGTAAAACCCAAGATGCGGAAATACTCAATGAAGTACCAAGAGAAGTTTCAAGATTGGGGAAGTGAGTAGTGAGTATAGGGAACTTTCAAGAGAAGTATACCCGGAGATTCATCGAAGCATGTTGGCGAATCGCCTTCGACTCTGGGTGCCCACACTGCTTATAAACGAATTGATGGACCTTTATGGCAAAGGCCGTCATCTGCTCCACGTTCAGGCCCTGCACTGAAGAGCTGCCCCACCATTTTTGCAGCCACTTAGGCAGGGCTGCTGCACCAGAACTGTCATGGACTCTCGAGTTGAATGAACTCTCACGTCATCGGTTCACCAAGAAAGTACCGTTCGCCCTTGACCTCATGGAGTACTGGCTTTTTCATGGTGTTGGATGACTGGAACCCTGTGAAACCCCGTGAAATGAGCTGCTTGGCATTGCTTGCCACGTGTGCCACACCACGTATCTGGACCTTCCTTCCAGGGTGTCGACATCCAATCCCACTACTGTACTGAACGTGGGCTGGGGGCAGCTGGGTGACCGAATTCTCAGGTGCTGAGGGCTGTATCTCCAAATCCAGTGGTTGAAGTTGGCATCCCACCCAGACTCCACCAGGTGGGTTCTCCCTTATCGCTTGAGTCGGTTGTGGATCATTGAGCATGTTTCTCGCACAACGGACATGCCAAGAACTACTTTCTCTATATGAAGGAGGGCGGGGAAAAAACTTTCTCACCTCTTTCACAGACCTCTTGCAGCCCTGTGGCTTCCAACTCACCGGAGACATCTTGTCTTCCAACAAACACAAGAAGACACCCGAAAACATACCGGCCAAAACATCATCGATTCTTGCAAACCGGTTTCTTTGTGCTGGTGCAGCACGCTGTAACCACCGCTCGACGCGCCGCCTTGTCTTCCTCGGCGTCGTAGCCGGCCTTCTCGGACTTCACCTGACGAGGGCCGCGCGGTGGCGGGGGGTGGGAGAGAATCCGGTCATTGGAGGCTGATGTGAGATCCCAAAACGTTACTTTATGAGATGATATGTATTTCCCATACTATATGATCACTTGATGGATGTTCAACCTTCGAACACATGCAGTTTCAGGGATGGCTTGGAGTCACTGCATGTTCTCTCCCGGTTCCATTTATTCTGGGGCGCTTTATTAAAGGACATAAAGGCCAACATGGCACGCCATAGACCTCCCAACAGTTCGCTGTCAGACGTCCTGTCATCGTGAAATGAACTCCCAAGCATGAACGGAACTCGCACGGTCGCACGATGGAACAATACAACAAGATGTGACTCCACTGACCCGATGTGTGCATGTCACACTGGGAGGACCAGAACGATGAAAAGAATCCCTGGGACGTCCTCTGCCCAGAACCACATCGGATGTGTCCCAGGTGCTAACTGGATGCTGGCTGGCAAGCCTCAGGTGTGTAAGTGTCTGAACCTTTGTGGATTGAGTCGTTCACCTTCTCAGGGGGTATGTGAGCGGTTGACATGATCTATAACTCTATAAGTAAACATTTAAAAAACATAAACATACATATATATATATATATACATCTTATGTAATATGAGGTGTATATAGGTATATGTATATCATTCCCTAATCTAAGTGCCATTGTGCTCTTTGAGTCGGCTCCTATCAGTGACCTGGCGAGTGTCACTGGTGATGTCCATCGATGTCATGATGAAACAAAAGGGCAAGAGAGTACCAGCTGGGAGACTAGATTAGTGGGAGAATTCCAGGGCACCGGCACAGGTAAAGAATATGTTTACTGGCCCTCCAAGCACTCAAAAGCACTGAACGGCCCTCCAATGCAATAGATTCCCTTCAATCAGAACATAGATTCAAACCCCAAATGCCGCCAATTGTGTTGTCAGCTAGAGTATGTTCAATTGACAAGAGCTCTAAATAGACAAATTCAATATATTTGTTATGTATATATATATATCACGACCCCTCCACAGTTCGGATAGCATCGCTGCAGAAGGAGCTGATTGACTGAAACAACCATTCTAGATTCTAGCTGCTAGTTTAAGGTCTTGTGGTCCCAATCTCTTCTTCTTGTGCTTTCCTGGTGGCTAATTTGACATCTCTCAACCAGTTAATAAACATCAACAGCGCCCAACCAACGCCTGATCACTGATGACTTACATGATTCCTACCTGGACCATCCAATAGGTGTCCAGTGGACTACCCTGCACGACTGCAGTACTTAGGGATCTCCATTGGACACCCATCCCTTTGGGATCTCCATATACCAGTACCCCACACTCCGATCGTCTAAAATAAGCCGCCTGGTCGTACAAGCTTTGGAAGGGCGCTTTCGGGATCTTTGGCGGTGGCTGCTTGTGAAGCCAAAAGAACTCCTGGGATCGCGGTGCTGTTCATGCTGTTCCACAGTGAGCCAGTCCCTGCAAAAATGAACCCGTCGTTGTTAAAACCCCTACCCTTAGGCTTGAAGCTCCACAGCCACTTTCAAAAGTTTCCCATCAGGCATAACATAAGTGTGGTTCTAGTAGAGTCATGTAACTGAATCCCAACATATTCTAACATCATGATCCGAACCTTTGAGTCTTTGAGCACCAGAATTTACTATAACCCCAACGACTCCATGGGACGAAGGTACGAACCACTCCATGGGACGTGGTTTCATGACCGGGCTGGTCTAATGTAAATGATGCCAGTCCCATGGAGCAAGCGAAATATGCAACTCCATGACCTTTCAGGGCCCGTCTTTGGAACCCGTTTCGCCTCTTCAGAACCCCATTTCGCTACTAGGAGCAAAGGGCATCGCTACTAGCTAGGAGCAAGGACGCTACTAGGGGCTCCTGGCATCACTACTAGTAGCATTCTTACTACTAGTAACAAGAAGCTACTAGTAACATTCTATTTGTGATGCCCTTGTTGGAGCTCCGCGGAACGCTTCGCGGAAGGCCTCCAGAAACTTCGTCGCTTCGCCCGAGGCCCAATCAATGCGACCTGAGGACATGCGTGGCTGCCCGGACCTATCCCCAGGAGGTCCCGATTGTCAACACACACCCATACGTCCCAGACACGTTTTCCGCCTGCATTGACCCCTGAAAACACCCCAATGTTGGTATATGCCAGTCCCATGGAATGTCTGGGTGTTGGGTCCATACTGATCCCTGCAACAGTGGATGATGATGGTTAGGCTGCAGGCCTTTCTCTAAAATAGTGATCATTGTTTACCGACTGTTGCAGGTAATAGGACAGATTCAACCCATATGGTTTCAAGGGCCCACAAACCACCAAACACCCAGTTTTCCCCGACAAAACATGGTTTCTGTATGTCGAATACCGTTAGTTGTTTCATGGGGTTTGAGGGCCGGTGGTATATGATGATATGATACAGTTGCCATGATTTTTGACAGGTACACGACATGTGTTGGTATTTGGCTATGTCACTATATGTGATTGATTGATATGATTGTCCGACACCAAGCAGCTGCCACGGTCAATGCAGTTCACGTTTGAACATAAACAATGCCATCTTATGTGTATGTGTATATATATATATATACTTTAATGATGAATGTTGGAATCATTAATGGTGCATGGCAAATCTTGCACTCCCTGACCTATCGGAAGGACCGCTTCCTATATATTGGAATACAACGCTTCAAAGACATTTCTGCTTATGCGAGGTGCTTGCATTCTGCTTGTACGTACGCTTTTGGTGTGTTTAGATACCAGGATTCAACAATCCATCAAGAACCAACAAATAAAAAAACAAAACCAGTCAACTACTATTATTGTAGAATGACAGAGCAACCGAAATATCATGAAATGTATGTATACTCTGGATTCAAGAGCACCTTTGTGCAGATCAAATCGACCAAAAAGGCTATTATTATTATATATATATATATCAAAACAATTTCCTTCGACTCTCTGTGTTCGGACCTCCTCAGATTCTACACACTCGAATCATTATCGGTCCTCTGCAAGTGGAGCCTTCAAAATGGATGTTTGAAAAAGATTTCTGCACAAAAAAAACGAGATACCTCAAGCACACTGCTGGGGATGTGCAGGGAATGGCGAATGCAAGAAATCAGTTTCCTTTGGTATCCAACGGTTGTCCCAAACCCTGCTGTGACCAGTCTCAAAGGAAAAAATACCTGGACGTTTAGAGGAGAAACACCAACGCTCCTTGTGCTTCAATAACCACTTGCTATGAGGCAACAACAACCAAAATCACCGGAGGAATGATTGTTTCATCTGGATTTTTCAACCCCAGGACACCAAAAGCCACATCCAAAATGACCATCCCAACGGAGGCACCCGTCTTGTCTTTGTCGTGCTTGGGGAAGAGTTTCCTCGTCACCATCGCCTCGCATCTTCCGCGTGGAAATCGGGCGAGGTCCCGCCGGTGAGGGCGACCGGAAGGGAAAGCGACATGAATCGGTGTGTGAGTGTGTGTGTGTGTGTGCGAGCTACGCCCCGGAAGACCCTGAAAACCTCTCCAACTCCTCCAAATTACTTGGTTGGATACATCATGATATATCCTTTTCCACGCACGGAAGCTCTTGACATCTCTTGACACATCTTGACACCAATGGTGTCAAGGTTGGATACACATGATATGTTTACTTCCATCCTCTTAGAGGTGGGGTTTGAACTTTGGAGTCTCCAACACATCAAGGATCTCACGCCACCGTGTCGCCGGGGGGACAACTACCACCTGTCCGCTGCTGGTGCAGACATGTTGGGAGACCGGTGGTGTCGTTGTTCACTTCCTGGAGCTGTGACCTGTGACATACTCAGAACAGCACCACCTCCGACGGGGAACGGCTGGGCTCAGCGGTCGGTCGCTGGAAGCTCCGACTCCTCAAGCTCCGACACGGACTGCGGACTGCATGAGGGACTGAGTGAGGTGCCACCAAGAATTTGTTTGGATATATTATATCTATAATCATAATCCCACGCTCATCTAACATGCATAAATTTACATGTCATAGTATGTCTATAACTCATGCTGAAATCCTTCGGACCTGGGCACTGGCCCAACGGCTTCACTCAGCTTGGCTGATCTCAAGTCCAATTGTCCCTCACTTATCTTCTGAATTCGGAGATTCATCCTTTCCAGGCACCGCACACCACCAATTCCAACTGGACCCTTCACCCCACCCCCGCCGAAAAAAACCAACAAGCATGCCCAGAACGTCAGGCTGTACGTCATGCCCAGTCGCCACGTGTTCTGGATCCCAAAGGTCTTCCTCGCTGTACGTCTCGATGGTCGACCTGCCGAGTTCACGCGACGACGCGACGCGTCTACGAAGACGGGTCACCGTCACACTCCTTGCCTGCCTGAGGGGACGTGAGGGGACGTTGCTCCCAAAGCCCATTTGGAAGTCCTTGTTTTTTTTTGAACTGTTGGGGGCAGTAGGTTCCAAGTGTTCCGGAGCTTCCAGGTTCAGAGTCCACAACTGTTGAACGTCAAAAGCTTAACTGTGCAGAATCCCATCATGAGTCATCTTATAAGTCTTTTCCTGAATCGGATCCAGAGTTTCACCAAACCAAGATTCCAGTACGTCCACAAGCACCTTCCAACAGGTCTCCTCTGGAGGCTTTTGGAGACTTAAAAAGTCACAGGTGGTGAACTGTTGGAGGGTCCTGGCACGAATTCAACTAACTTAAATACTAACTAAGCATATATATTTATATTAATCAATGTTGTACTTCTGTCAATGCCAATCGTTGTGACACCGTGGGATAGGTCTTGTTTTCCCGCATCTTGTTCCACAGCGGGAATTCCTCAGAAAATGAATATCTCTTTGACTGGACCCAACATTGACACAAGAATGCCTGGAACCCAGGCCTGAACCCCACCGGCATGAAGCATTGCTGAGTGAAAGATTCAGTTGTGGCAGAAAAAAGACTTTAGATGTGGGTTGCTTGGGGGGGTCTAGGACTCTATTCAATTCCTCGCGTTCGATCTAGACTTGACCTACGTGAGTTTCTATTGAGCTGGCAGGCAAGCCTGGATGCAGGTCAGAAGCATGAGGGGTGGAGCAGTCGGAAGCAGCTTGATAGATGTTAGTCTCTCCTCATTCATCCACCAAAAATCATGTTGTTCTTCACTAATCACTGGTCTGAACATCAAACACCACACACTGAAGCGGTCAGACCAGTGGCTGACTTCGCGGCCGGCCTGGCACGAGCTCTGGTGGGCTGCGAGGTCTCGTTGTACGTGTCATAAAACTCGGACGCCTGCCTCAGTGGATCGGTGGGACCCCCGGTGACCAACGGGTGACCTGTTCAGGTCCGAGCGGTCTAGAAGAGGGATGACGGTGGTCACCAATGGACAACTCTCCACACTATGGTATAAATTAAAATATATTTTATGTCTAGACTGTCTACCTTGGCCACCCATTGTTCATTGGGAAGCGCTATCACTATCGGCCTACTCACACAAAAAGTAAACACTTAAGTTCTTCTTCTCCACCTCCTCGCTGCCCTCCCAGGGCCGGCAACAGCGACTTCACCGCACCGAAGCTCGCTTCGCTTCGCTTCCGCCGGTTCCGGTCGACCGGTTTTCGGGTTCCACCGAGGGCCCTCACGACAGCATGGAGGTCATGGCCGACATTGATCTCTCCGTCCGGTCATCTGAGGGCGCGTGAGCGCGGGCCCGAGGGCGCGTGAGCGTTCGGGCACCGTGCGTTAAGTGACGCGAGTGAGGTGAGGTGAGGGATGATGGCGATGGCCGAGGTCCATCCGGTCGGTTTATATAGAGTTCTATAGAGGTTGGATGATGACGTGGAAGTTGGGAACACCCAGAGAAGAAACCTTCAAACTGGGCCTCTTAGATCATCAAAATTCTGCTTTTCTGATGTTCCACTGGTTTTCACGTTTCCTTATTATTGGCAAGAATACAAAAGGACCCCGGACCTGTTCATACTTGGATTCGTCTCCTTTTTCCAGGTCCTTTGGAAGTAAATCTGAAAGGTGGTGGGCATGGGCACAAGGAGTATCACCAGGATCACTGTATCCAAAGATGTTCTCCATCTGGTTACTCCTTCTGAGGGCTTTGCGATTGAATGCGATTGACTCCATCTTGGGACTTCCACTTAGACCCTGCCCTGCCGGCTGCTCAGGTGCTCCAGTTGGGTCCAAAGGTCCAGCAATGACCGATTCAACCGAAGATCAATTTCCCGGACCTTGACCCCTGAGATCCCCTGAGAATGCCACTCACAAAACTCAAATCCAAAGAAGATCATGCACTACAAGTCTTCTCCAGCAGAAGTGATATGCTCCTGAAACCCTCCAAATGCACCCACCAGCCAACCCACGGGCTTCCACCGAGCCCCGCCCAGGTCCGCGCCCGGAAAACCGCGAGCTCTGCGGAGAACGCGCCTCCGTCGGAGCCACTGGAGGCGTGGACCTCGTAGACGTCCTCGTCGTGCTGGCCGAAGTCCACGGACTTGAAGTTCCGGGCCCTGATGGAGAGATGGCAGTCAGATTGAGGTCTCTTGTGCCTTGGTTGGAAACAGCGATGTTTTCTTGGTCCAGCGGATTTGTTTGGAACGATTTGGGACGGATCCAGGGAGTTCCGACAAGTTCTCTTGAGGTCGGTGGTTCTGGGGATAATCTACAAGGGATCTAAAAGGCCGGAGTCACCCTCCTTGACTTGAGAGCTAGAAAGAGTTACCACCGCTTTGTAGCTGTTCAAGAGTTGTTGGAAAAATATATTATGTTTTCTAGTTGTCACGAATTTCCCTCTGGTCAGACCCAATACCAAAGCGACCCAAACGGCCAACCCTATACAGAAGTGACACTAGAAGCTCCATATAGCTCCACCTTTGTGGCTTCATCATCGTCTCGAATCTCAATTATGTCATGTCTTGCAAATTCACCAAGCAGATCGAAAGAAAGACCACCCCCTACTGACCAAACTCAGGTACGATTGAATAAGTGTGTATCAAAATAAGGAGACCTCCCAGGCGTTCCGACCCCCTGGAAGAAGGAGAATAGACCAGTCTACTCATTGGTGGGGTGTCTCCCTATATACACACCCAACCTTCACATGATCAGAGCCCCACACGACATCACACAGGTCCCTGTCTTCAACTCCAGTGGCACATCGGTGAAGTCATGTGAAGTCATAGGTTCTCACCGTGTGTGTAAGAGAAACAGGGATCCAAATGATCCAACTCCGAAGTTTCTTCACTGAGGTCCATAAACCAGGACCCCCGACAGGGGTGTCTAATGACAGCTCCTTAGAGGTATGCGGCATATCATATCCATTAACCACCCCAAACCGGGGGCCCTGGTATTGACTATATGTATAGTCAAAAAGTCGCAGAAAGTCTCAAAACGTTCCACTACTTCCACCGTTGGCTGGCAAAAGTCTCAATAGCTCCCACAGTCGCCGCCCACTGCTCATCCCGCCTCCTCGCGACCTCCTCGCCCTCCTCCGTGCCCTCCCCCTCCAAGCTGCCAGGAAGAGACCTGGGACCGACCAACCCAGAAAGACGGAAGGAGAGTCCAAAACCGACTCTTCGACTTCTTAGATGACAGGAACAAGAGAGTCCAAACCGACTGGGATCCGCTTTGGGGTGAAAAAAGAGGCGAAAGGGTTGCCGACAGGACATGGCTCAAAGTTGTGGTTACCAAAAAACATCCAAAAACATGATGTGTAATACCCCAGACACTCCATGTATAGCATATTTACCTACATTGGGGTGGTTTGGGGGGTCAATGTAGGCATATATATGGCATACATGGAGTGTCTGGGTACTGTACATAAACTTCCAACTGATTCCTGAACAATTTGACACCATATACATCCTTCATTCCTGAGGACCAACAAGAATGACCCACTGTCTGCTTGCGACGCTCCACCGGCAGAAAAGAAACATACACACACACAATCACACACACACACACACATCCCCTCTCTCTTCCCATCCGGCACCCCACTATAGTCACTACTGCGCACGCACGGTGCCCCGAGCTTCGTCCTCTTAGCCAAGCGGCTGCTTTTCCTGAGTGACTTGTGTCGATGCGACCGACCCGGAGCGAACGTCGAGGCCAAGACGTTTGTCGCAAGACCTTCCGTGCGAACCCGTAGACGACGGTTCGAGCGTCGCTGTCGGGTGAAATGTCGGTCTTAACAGTGGACTAACCATCCAGAACTGGGTCCGACGGGGGTGTCCCCTGGCAAACCAAACAACACTCCATTTCTGGCAACCTGTCTCAGCTGCTAATACAGCCAATCTGAAGCTGCCAAGATACTGTGTGAAAGAAAACGCTCTTGCGGGTCTTCCGCTTGGTGTTCTTGATGCTCTGAGCCGTGTCCTCCTCCGTTTGCACAGCCACATCAATCTCCTTGCGGCCAGACAGGTAGCGAAAAGATCCACAAGATATGGATGATGCAAAACACAACTGAGCCTCGGCCAATACCTCATAGAAAAACCATGAATCACCACTGGAATATGATATACGGGATGGTTCTAGTACTTTAAATCACTGAGACTAAGCAGTGGGTCAGATTGCAAGTGGTCTAGATCAGCAATGGTTTTTTCAATGAAAAAAAATAAATATAACTAAAACCAATAAATAAATATAAAAAACATGAAATACATATAAAAACAGTGTAATAAATATAAAAATTGAAATAAATATAAAAAAAAACAGTTTAAATCATTTTAAATCAAAAAAAACTTTCTAAATCTTCAAAAACTAAAAAAAAAAAGTCTTAAAAAATCTCAAAATATCTCAAATCATCTCACAAGCGGGGTTCGTGGTAAAGGGTTTCGGAATTACAAAATAACTTTCCAGGAGCAAAATCTTAAAATATCTCAAAATATCTCAAATCATCTTAAAAAATCTTGAAAATGAAAAAATATGAAAGAAAAAAATAAAAAAATATGAAAAAAAAACTGAAATTTTCTGCAAAAATCTGAAAAAAAAATAAACATAAAAAAGAATAAGACAAAATATAAATATGTGCAAAAACACTCTCGTGGTGAGCGTTGTCTGACAGGAACAGTCTGAGATTCTGCAGACTGTTGTGGTCTCAGACGCTTGCTTGCTTGTGGCAAGTGTGTTCAAAAAAGAAAAAATTGTTGTTGTCACACATGATCAATTGTGTGTAAATGGGTTGCTGAAAATAGAAAAACATAGGTTTTTTTTTGATGTGTTTCTGTGTTTTTCTGTTTTTTTTTCTGTGTTTTTTTGATTTTTTATTTTTGTTCTGTAAAACCATGTGCGATCCAACCCTTGCAGATCTGACCCACTGCTTAGTCTCAGTGATTAGAACCTGCACTCAACTATTTCGGGGGTTAGGTCGTAGCTCAAGTGACCCAAGTCATGGTTTTGAGCTGCTTGGTCGGATCCGAATGGCTATATAACTGCTAGGCGACCAAACTGGTATGAAGGACTCAGCAAGGTTGGTAGGATGGTTAGGATGGCCAATGGTCTGATAGGCCTGATAGGCCAAACTGGGATCATTCTTCTAGACACACTCCCAGTTCCTACCAGGAGCTACACGCCTTACAGGTCCCAACATATAAGCATCTGCTTCATGTACATATACACAATGTAAGTAGACTGCTGACGAAATCAAAAGAACTAGCCCTGAAGATGTAGGAAACCATTCCTGGAGAAAGATAGCATTGTTTCTTCCGCAACATCTACGACATGACTCCAAAAAACGCGGCCATTTTGGCCCACCAAACCACACCGAGATCCTTCGGCTTGGTTTTCCGTAGCTGAACGCTTTGGAACTCCTGGAGCACTGGGTCGCTCGGCTCCGTGGGCATGTCAAGCTCTGAAACGAGTATCAGACTGAGAGGAAGCCCGGTCTGAAGATATAAAGAAAAAAACCTTTGTACCGCCTTTGTGGTATACTAGAAGGTCGCGGTCGGTCACATGCCGCCTGTTAACATGTGCCTTTCAGAACTAATACGATATACATCGATCGATATGCAGATCTAGTGAGTTGGTTTTCTGGTACCAAAAATCACCAAAAATGACCATCGATCGTTCCGAAGTGATCCGACTTGCGTCGTCATAGTTTGGCGTCGTCGGGCCATGGGTCAATCTTGAAACCGGAAGAGTCATGGAGTCGTGTCGGTGGCCGAGGAAAAGTCTACAAAGCAATGAATTCGACATGACAGGTACCTCAAAAGGTACCTCAAAATGACAGGTTTGAAGACTCACAAGGAACAGTTCAAGAGCGGTTTGGAAGAGGGCTAGGCTTCCTCAACCAAAAGGGGCTACCCTTCTGCTGCAGCAGAATGGATCCTGCAGCATTTGCGATGAGACATGCCCCCACTGCTTGGCTTGGGAGTTCCAAACGGTGCATTGGTTCCATCAAAAGCTTGAAAGCTTGAAGGACCGCTTCGAATGTTTGTTCCCAAGCAACTTGTGTATACATACATGCAATAAAATACATATATATATATAATGAATAGTAAATATATAATATGTATTGCACCATTGCACGGAAAGAACCCGAATTGGTCCTATTTTCCAGTGGCTTCTGTCCGCAGCAACCCCCCCTCCACCTGACTCTAGGTCGATCGGACCTGGACCTGACTCTCCAGCTCGGCGTTGCGCTTCTCCACGTGTCGCAAGCGCACCTGGGAGAGCACTGGACCACTGACTGGACTCCATATTGCACCACTGGACCTTGCGGGGAAGGTCGTCTGATCCTCAGAGAAGTGCTTGTGAGTAGTGCAGCCGAGCTCGGTTGCCGATTAGCTCGGTCAGCGGTGCTTTCGGCAAGCGGTGCTTTCGGTGCGGTCGTTCGCGAAACCAAAAGGTTGCTTCCCAACAGGTTTTTGTTTGTGGAATCCTCGATGGTTTCACTGTCTTGCTCTCATGATAAGTGGGGTGGCGGCCTGAAGGGTTTTGGGAAATTGCTTGGTCTTGTTGCAGGGCGTGGAATCACCACTGAGGCCACTTACAGTAGATTTACAGTGTTTCTTCTTACCCACAAGAGTCGCCAGATGTCACCAGACCCACCTTTTGCTCTGCTAAGCACCACCTAGCGCAGGTGGTGAAAAGGGCATGCTGAGTAGGCGGTGCTCCATTTTTTGTACTATGGGCAGGGAACCTGATATCCCTCAAGCATGAGCAGAGATGTACCGAGCAGCTATCATCACCCAGTTCCAACTCTCATTCTCTCCACAAAAGCTATATATATATATATACAACATTTGTGTATAATATGTATAACATTGCAAAACTACAGCAATATATTACAACACTGCCTGGTGTAGTTTGCACATCTCGAACCTGGTCCCGGAGACAGCAGACACTCTCAAGACTAAAGAAATGCAGGCATCAAAGGCATAATCCCCGAATTTCATCACTGAGTTCGGGATGGACAATGTTGCCAAAGCATTGCAACCTGCAAAGGCAAAATTCCCATCAATGTAGATCACAGAGTCCGGGATGTTCAAGTTCACTAAAGAGCGGCAAGCGTGAAAGGCGCAATCTTCAATGTGGGTCACTGAGTCCGGGATGGTCACGTCTGACAAAGATCTGCACTTGAAAAAGGCAAAGTCGCCAATGTGGGTCACCGAGTCCGGAATGGTCACTTTGGCCAATGTGCCGCATCCCTGAAATGCACTCAAGGGTCAAAATGAAGGCAACATGATCAACATATATCGGCATGCTTTCATGTTCGACTCGAGAGTCTCTCTCCCTAACTGGAACATATATATACTGGATCTTCCAGCTATACGACAGTGACTCTCTTTTGCCACGATTCCTTTCCAGCCCTGTAGTTTGTACATCTCGAACCTGGTCCCGGAGACAGCAGACACTCTCAAGATCAATTTAAACAAGGGCATCACCAAAAAGCATTTGGCGCGATGCGGGTCACTGAATCTGGAATGGTCAAATTTGACAAAATTCTGCAACCAGAAAAGGCAAAATCCCCGATGTCAGTCACAGAGTTTGGGATGGTCACGTTCACCAAGGAGCTGCAATTCTGAAAGGTACCGTCCGCGATGCGGGTCACAGAATTTGGAATGGTCAAATTTGACAAAGACCTGCAACCGGAAAAGGCAAACTCCCCGATGTCAGTCACAGTGTTTGGGATGGTCAACTTCGTCAGGGAATTGCAATCCTGAAAGGCCCCTTCGCCAATGTGGGTGACTGAGTTCGGGATGGTCAAGTCTGACAAAGATCTGCAACCAACAAAGGCATCAACCCCAATGTGGGTCACAGAGTTCGGGATGGTCAGGCTTGCCAAACAGCTGCAATCCCTGAAGGCATTCTTCCCAATGTGGATCACCGAGTCCGGCATGGTGACTTGGGCCAATGTGCCGCATCCCGTAAATGCACTTTCACAAATCTGGGTTTCATCATGTGGAATCTCGACCACAACCAGCAGTTCGGAGTCAACGATGCCACCAAGACTGGCGATCGTATCTTTGTTGGAGCAAATCACTTTGTTTGGTTTGATGACAACACTCAAATTAGTATCTTCAGAAATTCCAGCATCCAACACCTTTGCATCATTGGCCAGCAAGTGGTCGTCTCCGACAATGATCTCCACACTTGTAGTGCTGCGAGTGAGCTCGTCATCCCAAGGCTGTTTTTCCTTGATCTGCTGCTTGAGCTCCTTGCCAGTCGTCTCCGGCGTGACCTCAAGAACCATCACTTCACCACTCGGCTGACGCGCTGAAATTCGCTGCGTCGCCATGGCTCGGGCGGCGAGGACCACCTGGCCGAAGAGTTATGTATGAGTTGAGTACGTAGCATGGCATGTGCATGGCATGAGTATACTTCCTGTAGGGCTCGAACTTGCTCAATGGCTCAATGGGAACTGCTTAGGACTTTTTCCATGTTCACTGGCCTTGCTTTGGTTCAGATGGCCATGTCATTGATGTCTGTGTCCTATCACTGGCACATGGATCGGATTCACGGCGATCGACACGACGCGCCTTAGCTTTTTTGTTCAGGAAAAACTGGCTCAGTCTCCAGATGTAAGCAACACTTCATGACAAAGCCCACCTGTCTCGCAACACAAATTCAAAACAATGTATCCACTCCACATCGCAACAAAAAGCTTGTGCCAGCAGTCACAAAACGGGGTGCCGGTTCCGAATGGAGGAAGTCGGGGTTCCCCTGTCACATCCACGGCCGGATGGGGCGAGACACACCACCCAGGCCCTCGACTCCAGGTGCCATCTTGATCTTTCAAACACCCACCTCCGCCAGCAGAAGGTTTATCAAAATAACTGAACAGCTAATAACGTAATCTGAACGAAGCTTTAGTTCCGGGTCGCAGAAGCTTTATTCATAAACGATCTGAAACTCGACTCATATCGACTGGTCATCGACTGGTGTCCCCAGCGTTCAGCGTTGAGGCTTTGATTCATCAACAGTCTGACTCTTGGGGCCCCGAAACAAATGCTTGGACCCCACTATGGCTTGCTTGGGATCCTTGACTTTTCTGTGACAGTTCCATCCAAACCGATCTTCCCCTCAAACCTACTAATTCTATCCAACAAAAAAACAAGCGCCCAAAACCGTCCCATCTACCGAGCGAAAAACCAAACCTCCGACCGGACGTTTAGCAGCTAAACCGGCCCACGGAACCGACACAACCGGTATGTCGCCGTTCAACAGCTGCAACGATCTGATCCGATCGTTGGCGAGCGTGTCGGCGAGCGTGTCGGCAGCATGTCTGACATGGAAAAACTCCAACACCCAAACACCTCAGCGATCCCCTGTCAGAGGATTCGGGTCCGTCGCGTTTGGGGTATGGCCAGGTTGATTTGCATCGTTTGCTCGCGATGGTTGGTCTTGTTTATAGGTGAAATGGACATGGTTGGATGCATTATGATTCGATTCACCCACCCAGCACACCAGCGACTCCACACGTTCTGCCGCTGAACGCGGCATTCTCAGGTGCCCGGCACGCTCCGCCTCCTGGTCCTCGTTGGCGTGTTGGATCTGCTGTCGCAAGGCCTCCGCCGCCTTGACTCCCGCCTGGGAGGTGAACTGCCGAAAAGGGCCGTACAGGGGACACTAGCATGAACCAGTTTGTAAATGGACTTCCTTATTGCTGCTGCTCGGGCCCTTTCGTTTGTCCTATCTTCTATAATTATATAGGCTCTTCACCTCTCATGCCTATCTTCACATTGTGACATGTGAATGTACTTGCATGGGGGGTGGTTCTGAAGACTGGTCACACTCCGTCCCGGTTCCAGTTGTTCACCATGTGGGAGGATCTTGGGGATATGCTGCGCCATGGTGCACAGCTGTCTGGGGGGTAGCTCACCAAACAGTTTGGGAGGAGTGCTTTCCATGCGCTGGACCCCACAGGAAGTCTCCATAGGTAGCTAGATCCCACCCCCCCATATCCAGTCCAATCCAGTTCACTAGTTGTTTCATTCGTTTGGAAAAAAAGATCCTGAGTAACCTGAGTATGTAAGCTCTCTTTTGGACCAGCAGCCACCCAACAAAAAATGTCCTTCCATGAAGTTCAGGGCTCTGGGATGGTACAGCTTCCTGATCCACATCCACCGTCCACCTTGCTGGTCCTGGTGTTCGTTTTACACCGAGACTACTCGATCTATGTTCAACCTAAGAGCGATGGCCTCCAGCATACAAGCGATGGCCTACCAGCGATGGCCTCCGGAATATCATAGATGCCTAACAACAAGCGACCTTATAGGGCCCTATATACCAGGCTAGGGTATCTATATGGGATAGTACTTGGGATAGTCTATAGGGTTCTTCAACCTCTGTTGGAGATGCCTAGCAAAAGGTATCAAACAGTCGACCAGTTGCGTGTCAATTTCTACATCCTCCCGAGAGTTCTCGCCTGCATCTTCTCGTTCTCCTCAGATGCTGCCGCTTCCATCTTTCGCAGCTGAGACCGCAGATCTTCCTGCGCAGTGGTCGTTTTTGGGTGGCTTTTAGATGGTCCCAAATATGTTGGGATGAACATGGATGAACCCTTCGTGATTGCTGAGGGCCGGCTTTCACAAGTACCAGTAGTATAGGAATCGCATCGAATCGCAACACTACAGGGGCATGGACACTTGCTCCTAGGCATTTCACCGTTTTGCAAAACAGAGGGCATGGCGGCCAGGGACGGCACCCTCCAGTTTTTGAGACACAAAGCTGACCTCTGTTTGCTGGACGCTTGAGACCTGCTCCCCGTCTCCCCGGTCGACGTGGAGCCGTGGACGACGCGACCCCCCCAGCCGACACCCATCGATCTACTCAAACTGTTTCGTTTGAAAAACACAGCCATTCTGGTCTAACGTCTAACGTCCTTCACCTTACAAGTTTCGAGAGCATCACCATGTCCAAAAGCATCTATTGTGATCTTCACATACACTGTCTGCCAGTGGATTCACGTCAGTAACAATCACACAAAGACATGGCAAAGGCACCTGAACGGATTCATGATCGGAGACACTTGCTTCCATCTTTCGAAGCTGTGCTCGTAGATCTTCCTTCGATGCATACAAAATGGTCAAGTACAACTCAAACTGCCGCTATAATTAATTGATGTTAATTGCACTACTGTACCATGCGAAACATTACCTACGCAAATGCTGAGACAACTGCACAAACTGACCTCCAAGCAGTTTAAACATGAAAACACATAATATCCATATAATTGTAGTCAAACTCAACTGCATGGAACTTGTCTTGACAAGATGAAACCTTCTGTTCGCAAGAAAAAGAGACTTCGCAAACTTTCAGACTCCGCCTGGGCAGCTTCGATCGCCTCAGAGGAGTTGGCTTCAACTTTTCGCAGCTGCGCACGCAGATCTTCCTGAAGCGACTTGCAACATTTTGCCATTCCACTTTCATCAGCTTCGACTCGCTTTGAAGCTTGATCATGTCATATCATGTCGCACCAAGTTGTTCATGAAACAAAACAAAGAACTCGTGGCCAAAGAACATATGCCAAGCTGCTAAACCTTCAACATTCCCCTGGAAACTGCACAAAATTTCCAAAAGACGCCTGAGCTGTCTCATGTTCAGAACGATGTTGTTCCGTCTTCCGGAGTTGCACCCGAAGCTCCTCCTTCAAGATGTTCAGATCAAAGGCATATGTTGCGATAAAACTGCCAATAAAACAAGCATATGCCGGCATGCAACACCTATAAGAGAAGGATAAGAAGCACATCTTCACACATCAAATAATGGCCTTTTCCGTCTCGTGATTGGAAGCATTTGCTTCCATCTTCCGCAGTTGCTCCCGAAGATCCTCCTGGCGAAAAAAGTATCAACAGGTCCAGCCACTCCACTATTCATCTGACTCGAACAAGCAGGAAAGGCGCCTGCTCGGTATCATGATCAGACGCGCTTGCTTCCATCTTTCGAAGCTGCGCTCGTAGATCGTCCTGCGATGCGTACTTAAAAGGTCAAGAACGAATCAAACTACTGCTAGTTGCACTTGCAACAATTGACCTATATACACCACCTGACCTCCAAACAATTCAAACATGAAAACACATAATATCCATATTTGTAGTCAAACTCAACTGCGTGGAAGTGGAACTTGTCTTGACAAGATGAAACCTTCTGTTCGCAAGAAAAAGAGATTTCGCAAACTTTCAGACTCCGCCTGGGCAGCTTCGATCGCCTCAGAGGAATTGGCTTCAACTTTTCGCAGCTGCGCACGCAGATCTTCCTGAAGCGACTTGCAACATTTTGCCATTCCACTTTCATCAGCTTTGACTCACTTTGAAGTTTAATCATGTAATATAATGTCACACCAAGTTGCGCATGAAACAAAACAAAAAACTCGTGGCCAAACAACATATGCCAAGCTGCTAGACCTTCAACATTCCCCTGGAAACTGCAAAACAAATCCAAAAGACGCCTGAGCTGTCTCATGTTCAGAACGATGTTGTTCCG